GAGGTGGCCAAGCAGCAGAGGATTCTGGGAGGTGGCCAAGCAGCAGAGGGTGCTGGGAGGTGGCTGATACCCAGCGCCAGATGACCAAGAGGAGAGCATCCGTGTACCACAAGGCCCTCCCTGCAAGGCCTTGTGTGCTACCCCAGCTGGTAGCACAGGCTCTTTGCGGAGGGTTTGCACAAACATCTGTCCAGCTCATAGGCTGCTGCTGGAAATCTTGGAGGCTAGCACACGAAGCATCGCTTTCGGCCACCGAGGGGACCCTGGGCACAGGAAAGAGGTGCTGTGGTCTTTGTGCTTTCCAGAGGGCACTGCACAAGCCTGCAGTGGTGCTCCCAGGGGTAGGGATAGAAAGGCTGCACTGGTGAGGGTTATGGGCACTTATGGCCTGCAAGGAAAGTCTTCCCAAACCCTACTTTCTCACCCCAGCCTTTGGTCACATGCCTTCCATGGCTCCCCGTGGCCTAAGGTATCAAGTGTCAGACACCGTACCTTGGCATTCAAAGCTCTCCCAACACTGATCCAGTCCTAACGGAGGCTGCCGTCCTGGCCTCCCACCTGCCTCTCCCTGCAGCTCCACAGTTGGGCCAGCTATTCAGTGCTAATTGTGACTGATTTTAGAGCCCCTCAGCTCTGCTGTGACTGAGCCCTCCAAGGTCCCAGACGCTGCCCTCACTGGCCCCCGGGGAGGATCCCCAGCATGGTGGCAACGGAGCCACCTCAGTCCTGCTCAGCATCATCAAAGCTGTGTGTTTCTGGCATAAGGATAGATGTCTAGACTGGCAGAAGCTGAGAGTCCAGAATCAGCCCTCACAGTTCCAGGCAAGGGTGCCAGGGTCACTAGTGGGGACAGAATAGCCTTGTCCACAAACAGGGCCAGGGCCACTCGAAGTCCACATGCACAAGAATGAAGCCGATCCCTACCTCATACCGTATAGAAAAACTAACTTCAAGTGGAGCAAAGGCTCAAATGTGGAGCTAAAACTGTCAGGCTCTTAGAGTCACACCCAGAGGGGAAATCTTCGTGTGCTTGGACGAGAACATTTTATTCTTAGAAATGGTACAAGGAACAAAAGAAAAAAACAGGCAAATTAAGCTTCATCAAAGTCAAAACTTTTATGCCCTGCCAGCCCTGCTTTCTGGGGGACCTGGAGCCAGGAGGGTCCCAGCCTGTCTTTATTAGCCGTTCACCTACCGTGAGCCTGGCAACTGGCCATACTCCTTTCATTCTAGAGATGGGGAAATTGAGGTCCAGAACCCCAGGGCTTGCCCAAGGTCAGACGCCCAGAAGGCAGTAGATGAGGATTTGCACCCAGGCCCAGCCCTTTGCTCTCCACTGTCCACCCAGCACTGTCACCTTCTGCTTAAGTGGCCACAGCCGACTCCTCCCCGCTCTCTGCCCACCCTCCCCGGCTCCTCCTCTGCCCCCCAGGGGTCTTGCTGAAGCCTGAGTCAGCCTGAGTCAGTCGGAGGATCGCCCGCCTCATGGCTCTTAGGCCAAAGCCCAAAGTCTTCTTTGTGAGCCCCAGGCCCTGCAACCAGAGCCTGAGCTCTCCCTCTCCCGTCACTTTATCCCGCAAACTCTGCTTGGGGACCTAGGGCCTCGCCTGCCCAGGGCCCGAGCCCGGTCCACCCTGCCAAGGTTCCTCTCCGGCCAAAGAGCTGAGGCAGGAGGATCACAGTTTTGAGCTGGCTTGGGCAACTTAGTGACTTAGCGAGAGCCTGTCTCAGTACAAACATAAAAAGGGCTGCGGATGGAGCCCGGTATAAGGGCCCTGGGTTCAATCCCAGTACCACAAAACAAAAACCAAGAGTTGAAGTTTTAAACAAAATAAACACGCTGCAGAGGGGAGCAGCGTTGCTGGGGTTCGAGCCACAGGTGGATGGACAGACACAGGGTGGCGCCCGGGCCCACTGCTGTAGATCTCTGCTCAGCAAGCCCTGTTCCCATCGTGTCCACCCCTGGGCAGCTCCAGACCAAATCCAGACTCTGTGGACTGTCCTCTCTGGGCGCTGGCCGGTGGGAAAGGGTGCCACCCAGGACACCTGCAGAAACAGGGGGCTCCTCCCAACCCGTCACTGGCCCAGGCCGGGGTCTCCCCTCCCCCTCAGTGGGAAAGAAAGAAGGATGGACGGGAGGAGAGACAGGAAGATGGAAAGGAGAGTGACCAAGAGGGAGGGGAGGGGAGTGGAGGATGAGCTTGGTGTTAGCCCTGGCCGGGGCGGTAAGGCCTCAGTCCAGAAGCCACCTCACTCCGCTCCTGGCGGCCAGGCGGGGCCTCGCCTGCCTCCTGGCCTAGCTGCTCACAGGGCTGGGTGGCAGAAGCACAGTCACAAGGCGGCCTGGAGGAGGAGGGGACGGGGAGGGGAGGGCAG